TTCATTTCTCTCCTTGTTTATTTTCCCATCCCCTCACAACCTCTTATATGTAATTTTGTATAACAATGAGGGTCTACCTCTATTACCATGCAATTTCCCTTTTCTCTCCCTTTCCCTCCCACCTCATGTATCTGTTTAATGTTAATCTTTTCTTCCTACTCTTCCTCCCTGCTCTGTTCTTAGTTGCTCTCATTATATCAAAGAAGACATTTGGTATTTGTTTTTTAGGGATTGGCTAGCTTCACTAAGCATAATCTGCTCTAGTGTCATCCATTTCCCTGCAAATTCTATGATTTTGTCATTTTTTAGTGCTGCGTAATACTCCATGGTATATAAATGCCACATTTTTTTTATCCATTCATCTATTGAAGGGCTGAAGCCACACTCTATATCAGCATTTAAATGACTAACACAACAAACTATTGAAAACACCAAGTAATGATTACCTTATATCATGCACAGAGCATTGCACACAAAATGTTAACCATACTAACCAAAATGTTAGTATTAGTGTTTATAGATCCAATTGTTTGCAAGCCAGTCACTCATGAGGAAATATAAAATCATATGTGTTATTATTGCTAAAATTCAGAATTATTAATCCAATAACAAAACCCATTAGCTCATTTACCTTCAGTAGTGAATACTGTGCAATCAGGCCAAAGGGTCCTGTTAGGTACTCATCCCAAACTATTGCCTGAAACAGAGAGAAATTGTCTCTTATTACAGATAATCTCAATTTCAACAATATCAACAGAAAATAGCAGTCATATATAGTAGGAATATTTCTTCAAACTTGGGAGTTAAAATTTTTAATTGGATCACCAAATATGGTAGCACATGCCTGTAATCCCATCTACTCTGGAGGCTAAAGCAGGAGGATTGCAAGTTCAAAGCTAGCCTGGGCTATTTTGTGAGAAATTTTCTAAAAATTATTATTATTTTTTCTGGTACCGATGAGTGAACCCAGGAATGCTTAACCACTGAACCCTTTTTAAATTTTGAGATAGGGTCTCACTAAGTTGCTTAATTTTTGAGACTGGTTTTGAACTTGTGATCCTCCTGCCTCAGCCTCCCAAGTTGCTAGGATTACAGGCGTGTGCCACTACACCCAGCTAAAAAATTCAAAATTTAAAAAAGGCCAAGAACACAGCTCAATGGTAGAGCACTTGCACAGAATATGGGAGGCCCTGGGTTCAACCCCCAGTACATAAAATAAAAAATGTAATTGGCTCTGATCACATTCATAGCCTAACAATCTAAATGAAAATGGCATATGATGCTAGTGTGGGTCACAGAGAAATTAAAGAGCTAATTACTGTCCTCAACAGAAAGAAGGAGCTATAGAACCTTTATATCTAAATTGTGGTTTTATTAAATTGAACTATACAGAAATTCCAATTATACAGACCTAAAACCTATGATATAAGCATTACAAATCTTATTTGGGCAGAAGAGGAAAATTTTAAAAGTTTAGGAGTTTAAGTAAGTATCCAAGGCCATATAAGCAACTTGGACTTTACCTATAGCACAAAGAAGTCAAGACTGCAACCTAGGACTTTTTGACACCATAAGTCATTGTTCTGGGACCCATGTGAGTATATCTACCACTAAACTCCAGGTTCATTTCTTTCTTTTTAAATTTTTTATTTACATAATTGTACATTGTCTACTTGTAAAAAATATGACAATCACTGTGCACTTTGCCTGTTTTCCTCTGGTAGTAACAAGTAACTTTATGCAAAACTATAGTATAATATTACATTTCAGTATACTGTCATTGACACAATCTACGATCAGATTCAGATTCCAGCATCATCTGCTGAATTTAAACAAGGGCCCTGTGATTCAGCCTGCTTTCTTCTCTCAAGGGCTGCCAGCCAGCACTCTACCTCTTGGAGTTCTATTCTCTCCAACACTGGTTTCTGAGCTTCCTCAGTTCTAAAGAAAGAGTGGTTACTCAAGGAAACGGACAAATGCTAAGGGGAGAACAGGGCGGATCAGGACAATGTTTCTGGTATACAGTGTCTGACTCCCTTCTGAGGTGAGTGCTCAGAAGGAGAGAGAACCCTATTTTAAGAAAGCAAAGTTAAAATGACATCATCTCTCATGATGGGTGCGAGCAGGTTACAAGGCGTCGGTGCTTCAGAGACTTGCGAAGGTACTATCTGAACTGACACTTGCGGTCGCTGAAACGAGTGGACACTGAGCCATTGCACCCCCGCGCCCAACTTCAAGCTCTCTCCAGGCGCTGGGCTGCCTATCACGGTGGCTTATCCTGCCGTCACGGGACCACGCCATCTCCGGGTTGGGTGCCCAGGCCCTCCCTGCCTCGTCGTTGCCGCCTGCACCTGGACGCAAGGAGAGGGCCCAAAGTTCGCCCCCTTGGAAGACGCAGGGGACCTCCTACACTCGAGCTTAAAAGGTCGGGGACCGGACAAAGCCGGGCCGGCCACGGGAGGAGATGGAGGTGTCGCAGGCTCCGGCCCCTCACCTTGCTTCCCGCGCACTTGTCCAGGAACTCGCGCAGCTCGCGACGCACCGCCTCGCGCAGCACGTTCAGGTTCACTCGTCCGTAGGACAGGTGCGCCGCCATCTTGCCCCCTCCCCTTTCCCTCAGCCCCACCGCGTCCACAGTTCTCCACCCCCGGCCCGGTCACGTGGCTGTACGTGCACGTGATCAGAGCCGCTGACGCAGGCCAAACCCGGAAGCCGGAGTCGGCCGGATGCGCTCCTCTCCAGTCGGGTCCTAGAGTCCAACTCTTTCCTTTACCTCTCCGCTTTTTCGGACCCTACCTCGGTCCTGGAGTCGTCTGGCCTTGAAAAGGGACATTGGAATTTTGGAAATTGATCTCATTTGACTCTTTTAAAAATCGCCACCAAGAATACTTGCTGTGTAATGGTAATTTGAAGCTAAATTTGTATGCAAATCTTTTTAAATTATAAAAATCCGAAGGTCTGCCGGGCAAAGTGGACCACGGTTATAATCCCAGCTTGGTCTCACTGGTAGACTAATAAGGCAACATCGTATTTCACAGGAATACTGTCAAAACCCGGCTGGCTTAACAGCAAAATCCCTGAGTTGTGAAGACGAAAGAGGATGTAAATTACATCTTGTAACCTGCGTAAAAGGATGAGCTCGGTGCCTGAAACTTAACTGCTCAATAAATTATTAGGATATGATCGTTTCCATACTTTGGGGCAGATACGGGTCATTTTGAGGTAGGATGGAAAATAAAAGGTAGTGAGCTGGGGACTTAGCTCAGTGGTAGAGTACTTGCCTAGCATGCATGAAGCCCTAGGTTCAATCCTCAGTACCACACACACACACACAAATAAAAATTTAAAAAGTAGAAAGGAAACAAAGAGAAACAACTAAGGTCCTAAAGTTCCTCATAAGTTCCTCATGCCATTTCTCCCCAGGCCAGTTTTCTCCTTAACTGAGAATGTCTCATCTTAACGCCTATGATAATGTTGAGCTCAGCAGGCCATGTCATGAGCTATTTAAAGATGAGGGTACAGTTTAAGCAGTAAAATGCCCAGGCATTCATGAGTGTAACTAACTGAGGAGAAGCAGTATGGTAAACTGTCCCTAAGCAGGATCAGGATGCCAGAAGATTAATAATGGGTACTTTATTTCCCCATACATACTACTTATTGTGTGTTAAAAGATTGTGTGTGTGTTTATAAATATATACATATATGAGAGTGAGAAGCACAGGGAGAGTGCGCCTTTTAATCACCTCAGGTCAATACCAAAGTTGAGAACTATTATTGTAGATTATTTAGGTAAGAGTAATGCTTTTCCTCAAGTAGTGTTTTGGAAATAGCTATTTGTTGATAACTGTTCATAAACTGGATGTTCAAAAAACTAGCAGTTGGTTCAGTAATCAGTTTTGTAAATACCCAAGCAACGTTTGAGTTTCTTTCTAAAACCCATCATGGATTAATAAAAATGGTACTCTATGGTGCTAATGATGCCACTTAAATTTTTGGCAGATGATACAATGTGATACAGCAGTGGGTAAAACCACAGATAATTACGTTTTGCCAAGTGAGTCACAAAACACTTGAAGAAAGGCATACCAGTTTATTTTATTTTTTTTTTCTTTTTTGGTACTGAGGATTAAACTCAGGGGTGCTGTACCAAGGAGTTACATCCCCAGCTCTTTTTTTGTATTTTTTGATAGTCTTTGAGTTGAGGAGGCTGGCCTTGAACTTTCAATCCTCCTACCTCAGTCCCCCTAGTAGATGGAATTATAGGCGCCAGCCACTGTGCCTGGCCCCATTTATTTTTTTAAGGAAAAAAAAAAGTTTGTTTCTCATGTTGTGAGATGAACAGCCTCAATTGGTGGAGTAGCCATTTCGTGAATTCACTCAAGGGTCCAGGATTCCGGCACGTGATTCCACAATCCTTTAGGACATTATCCTTGGTAGAATTGGAGAGAAGTCATTTCAGTTTCCAATCTTTGTACTCTCTCAATTCTTGGAATCCACAATGTAATCTGAAGGCAAAACAATTTTCTGAGCAACACTGGAGAACAGCATTTTATAGATCAAGGCCTACAAATGCCTCATTCTTTCCACTTTTAAAAATCCTCAGATTCAGTTAACATTCACAAGCACTCAGGACTCAAGTCTCCAGATACAGTCAACCTCAGAAAGCTGCAGCTGGTATTTTCTTAGCAGCAGCCAACACTGCCCTTGGTGCTTCCAGGGCCACCTGTTCAGGACATACCAATTTCTTAACTGGTGTTTAGCAACAAGACTGTAGTAGAAATTGCTGTTTGGGGTGGACGTGTAGGCTGGTGGTAGAGTGCATGTGAAACATGCAATAAGGCCCTGGGTTCCATCCCCAGGACAGAGAGGATGGAAGGAAGGAAATTGCTATTAGGATCTATAGGGCTTTTTCATTTGAAGAAAAACCATATGACAAATGTGAGAATAATGTGAAATTACTAACACTGGCAAAAAAAAAATTATTAAAGAAGATACAGAACACTTGTATGCTCAAATTTTAATACTGCTTTACATGTTTTCTTTTTGTGAAACAATTCCTATTATATTAACCAAAAATTTCCACTGGTAACATTTAATATTCACTTGTCAAACACAATTGATAATCTTAGGGGAAAATACATCAAAGGCATATATACAATTATAGAATTTCTTATTATACATGTAGCATGGAAGATACATTTTATTACATTTTACATATTCTAGAAGACATTCAAATGAAGATAAATATATTCAGACTGGTTGATAAACTATTCTGGAGGTTGAGGTCCTTCACTTTATTATTTTGTGATAAGAAAATTCAAAATTATTAATGTTGAATTTCTCATCGTACATTCATCTAAGAATAGTTAAAAATCTTGTAAAGGAAGACTGTAGATTGGTTAATTTAGGCATTTTACAGTGGCTTGATAATTCACTGCTGGGGATGTTTGCTAGAGAAGAAAAAATAATTACAGGAAATTCTTTCATCTATTTAGATCTGGTAAAGAACCAAAATGGAAACAGAAGATAAAATAACTGTGAAGCTGCAAGATGCTATTTTTGGCCTAGTCTGTTACATCCTGATGATTTTACAAGTGTTTTATTTTTCATAAAGGTAAAAATCTGAACAGAAAAACATTTTGTTTTTCCCCAAAATATAGATTTTTTTTGAAAAATATATACATATGATATATATATATATATAAGCAAAAAATTATGTAAAACCAAGAAAGAAAACACCACAGTTGAGTAAGTGGATGCAGCATATAGATTATAAAATGTCCCCACAGCAGTTTGGGGGCTTTCCCCTCCCTTCTACCTGTTTCATGATTTATAATCACACCCAGTATTGTCCAGCCTACAAAAAAAGGCACTACTGACAACAGGTAGTGCAAAGAGCTCAGATATTATAAAATACTTTTAAATTTAGAGTAAATGAAAATGCAAAATGGTATCTTTTGCAACTCATTCCAGTGTCAATGCTTAACCAAAAAAAACCCCCCAAAAACCAAAAACCTAAATATACAAATGCAGCCCAGAAATATTTAGTGCAAATATGAAGAGTAACAGCATAATTTAAAGTTTCTTAAATAAGGTAAGGGAAGGGCTTGTTCTAGAGGTCTCTGTAGAACAATAAATGTAATGGCATCTGGTGCAGTCTTAAAACTGAAAAATCAGGAAAACAAAATTAGAGGTGAACTCTCACCTACTAATATTTATTATTCTAACTTATAAGGGGAGACTAAAAGATGATTTGTTGAAGACCAAAATATTTTCTTAGATTTCTTGACAGGGGTCAAAAATAACATGAGTTCTCCTGAAGTCTGCGCACGCAGTGCTGGTGTTCAGTTGCTGAGATGCGAGTGCCTCTGAGGGCCCGTGCTGCACGCTACCACATCAGAAGGTCTCGTCATCATTGCAGTTGGTCGCCCAGTGCCCAAACATCTCACAGATCTCACAGTAAGGCCGCTCCTCACTCCGACTGCCATGATGTGTGGAATGGGGTGGGTCCTCGGACATCTGTGCCTGGGTGGGACAGTCCTCTGTGTCATGGAGATCGAAGCAGTCACAGATATCACAGAAGAGGCGGGGCTTTTTCTTGGTCTGTTTCTCCTGGTCATCGCTACAAATATCAACATATAAAATCAGAGATTTTATCATAAGAAATTCAAGAGAAAACATCTCATGTAAAGAATTTTAAAAATAAGTAAGAACTAATTATGGCCAACTCTGAGCCTTCAGGGAAAGTAATACATTTCATATTTTAAAAATGCCAGATCAGACCATTTGTAACCTCTCTCTTTGCCGGATTTATGGCAACCATTTATGGCAAAGTAACTGCAGAGCAACTGTACCTTTCTGGTTGTTTGATAACCCCCTGAAGAGCTGAACTTTAAAAACACATTTATCCTGATGCCCTGAGGTTCTAGTCAGTATGGCTCACTACGAAATACCTGTCATAGGTGTTCAGGTCATCCCCATTGCCATTAAGAGCTGCTTCTGACATCATCTCCACCTTCATTTTGAGGTCTTGATTCTTTCTTTGAAGGTCCACTATTACTGAATTTAGGAAGTCAATCTGATTTGTCAAAAAAGAAAAGAAACAGTGAGGTGGGTAACATGTCTAACGTGCACAAGCTGCAGTACCAAGAAGTATGCAGATGTCACATAAGGGGCCACAGTGCCTGTCACTGGACCCATGTTGTTCCAGCCCCCCAGGAACAGAAGTAATGAGATTCTTTGACAAATAGCTGAATTTAAATGAGGCCATATGGCTAGGTGGTAGGGCTAAGGAGGTTTCCCTTTTCCCCTTTCAACACTCTTCAAATGTTACTGAGTATTTTATATATACTTTAAATCAAGTCTCATTGAATATTTCCCACTGTGAATGCATAAGCTTCACTTGTCATTGAGGCAAATAAATTATACTTAAATAGCTAAATCTGAGGGTTGTGGAATGCTACTGATTGATGGAAAGTTATTTCTTTCCATAGGGGAAAAAATACAAACTTTCCATCATTCAAAAGCATAATCTTAGATTTGTAGATACATGGGCATGAGTTTTAATTTTTCCTTCTACTACACAAATATATATATACAGATTTTACAAAACACATAAAGTTCTTTCATTAAATTCTAGAACCCATTTGGGATTGTTCTGGAAGACTTATATGGATTTTCTCTTAAGACAGCCATTAACCATTGATAATGACGGTAGGGAACATGGAGGGCTGTGAAGGGGACAGCAAGGCTCCCTTCCTACTGAGGAGAGATAGGCACATGCTAACACAGCAATGTTTGGGAACCACATACTAGAAGGGGACCTATGCTGAGGGTCCCTGAGCGGCAAAGACAAGATGACCACCAGAAGGAAACTCTCATCCTAACTCTTCCGTTCAAGCCAAGAGCAATTTAAAACCCAAAGGGTTCTTCAAATAGTGAAAGGTATCCTTTCTATAAATTGAAAAGATCCCAGTTTATAATATTAAAAATATGTACACACACATACACACATGCACACATTTTGTGGGGTTTTTTTTTTTTGTTGTTGTTGTTTTGTATCAGGGATGGGATCCAGGGACACTTAACCAATGAGCCACATCCCCAGCCCTTTTTATTTTTTGAGACAGAGCCTTGCTAAGTTGCTGAGGCTGACTTTGAATTTGCAATCCTCCTCCTCAGCCTCTGGATTACAGGTTTGTAACACTGCATCCAGCTACTTTGAAGAAATATTTGGTCTTATTCTCCTGCTGGGAGGGTTATGAGCAATCAGCCCGGTCTTTCCCAGCATTTTATTCCAGCTTCAGCAAGGCCACCTTAGAAAGTGGATGTGCTGAGTCTATTTTTCATTTCTCAAAGTGCATTTTCTAAGTCATTTCCATTAGGACCTCCATGTCAGGAAGAAGAAAAAGCCACAGACTGGACGTAAGTATAGTGGGAAACCATACACGCACAGGCACACACAAATTAGGAAACAGAAAACAAACCATTTGCTGATGGGAAGAAAAGTGTTGTCAGCAGCAGCAGAAACAAATGGAAGCAGAAAGAAAAGAGGGGGGAGAAAACAGTGTTAATTATGTGCCACTCCTATGACACACACTAAGCAGACAGTGCTAACCCAGGGTGAATTAGTCTAAGTCTGATAGCTGTCCAAGATAATTCCTTATAGCATCATTTATGATAACGGACCTAAAGGGTCAGAGACATCCAAAATGTCATGTCAACCAAAGGGAACCGACTTAATTATGGCACATCATATAGCGAGATACTACATAGCTACATAAAAGACAACTACAGAAGGGTTTATGTTGTATGCACTACTCTTATTTTTAAATTTTTAGTTGTTGGACCTTTATTTTATTTGTTTATATGTGGTGCTGAAAGTTGAACCCAGTGCCCTCAAACGTGCTAGGCAAGCGCTCTACCACTGAGCCACAACCCTAATCCTCATTTTTAAATACAAATTGGGGGTTTTGTTTTAGTATTCACTTGAATATGCATTTTGTTGTTGTTGGAGATGGAGTCCTGCTACTTTTCTCAAACTCCTGAGCTTATGCAGTCTCCCACATCAGCCTCTGATTAATTGGGACTACAAGTGCTTGACACTGTGTCCAGCTATACATTTTTATAAAGCTCTGCAAAGGTGAGATACTAGGAATAGTAATCACCTGTTTAGGGATTTGGGAATTGGAACAGAAGAGAGGGTTTGGAGGAAGACTTTTTACTATGCACATTTTAGAACTGCTTACTGTTTGGAATACAGGAACACAATACCTATTCAAAAGATTAAATGATTCTGAAAAGGACGAAGACGACAGAGCAGTGAGGAAGAATGTTACCTGACTCTCCTGGGCTCTCTCGTCCTCTTCTGCCTGAGTGTCAGTATTACCTTGTATTGTGAAAAACAAAAAACAAGCAGAGGCTGGTTAAGAAAAACCATTACAATCTTTTTCCTTGTTACTTATGTAGTGAAGAGCCAGGGTAGGAAACTCATTTCCACGTGGACTTCCCCATGCACCTCAGAGAACACAGAGCAAGTTCCCAGTCCCTCAGCACTGACTGGCCCTCCCTCCCACTTCCAGGGTTCTCTCCCAGACTGGCCACTACTGGGTGGGAATGTATGTCACCTCCACTGTCCATCGTCCTCCAAAGGGACCAGCCCTGCCCTTTACTGCCATGTACTTTCAGACCCCGCGGTTGCCCTGTCTTAAGTGTGTGACAGCACTCACAGATTACAGGAAGGCCCAGGAGCAGCAATGCCAGGCATCCTGGTGTGGGGGGGCCAGGTGTGACTGGCTTCCTTCCATTAGAGAAGGAGACTAGGGACAGGCAGCAGGGGCAGCAGGGGAGGAGGAGCACCAGGAAGGTGGTGTGTTACCTGAGGAGCTGCCGAGCTGCCTCTTGTTTTCTTTGAGTTGAAGCTCCAAGTTCTTTACCTTGAGCTCGAGCTTCACCTTATCAGACTCTAGAGTCTGAACAACCGAATGCAGGGACTTGGCAGAAGCGTTTTCTCCCCTGAGCACTGTGACCTGCAACACAGTGATTGAGCTGAGGCTGGGAGGTGGACAGGCGGTGGCAGATGTAGGAGGACCCCCGGGGTGCCCTACCTCATTCCTCAGCTTTTCCAGTTCTGCATCCTTCTCTGTGAGTAAAGCACTAGTAATACTGATGGATTTCTGTAAGGAAGCTTTCTCTTCATCTGTCTCTTTTATGTACTTGGATTCTCTAAAAGACCAAAGGGTTAAAGAAGTTCCAGAAATCAACCGAGAGTCATCAGCATACAGTTTTAGAGCAAGCACGCAAATAACTTTAGTTGATGCAAAAAAAAAAAAAAAATATATATATATATATATATATAAGGCTATTTATGCTTGCAAAATTTGAAATTTTACTTACTGTGAGGGGAGAAAAAGTTTACCTATGTATAGACATGCCAGAATCTGCATATCATTGTATCCATTTGAACTTAAAAAGACAAATTAATAAATTTGGAAGATGTAGAATTTTTTAAAAAATTGTCGCACTCCCCCACCCCCCAAAATTATACCAAAATAGAACCCCCAAGTTGATTTTTGTTACTTCTGGAATCAATTATTACCAAGCAATGACAATTAAAATACATACATGCAAAGCAGTTATACAGATGTCATGCAGAGCAGTTTTATGCTGGAAGTATCAGTTGGTTCTCACTAATTTCAGTAACTTATTAGCAAGTTCCAAGAGTGTATTTTTAAGGTCATGTGGGCCAAAACAGCAGTAAGATTATCACTATTCAAACTGAAAGATCATGACTTTTCAACCACAGAATCTGAAGAGAACACTGAGTTGCTCATAGAAATTAAATTGCACTTAAAGGCTAGAGCAGAAAACACCAGGAGAGTTCTCCAGGGACAGAATGGAGGCTTGGGGATTCTGAAGGGGAGAGTCAGAGCAAGGCAGAGGGCAGGGCAGGCCTTAGTGAGAGGGAAGCATCTACCTGAGGATCCAGGCAGTGGGCGGAGAAGGAGGAAGGGGAAGGTGAGGGCAAGACACAGAGTTGTGCTGAGGGGCTGGTGTGTGAGTGAATCTTTGTTGTAAAAATTGCATGTGTGCAAAAGTGCTGAGGTCATGAAAGACAGAAAGAGACTCAGTGAGGGACCATCACTGGATTGGAGAAGCCTGAGGAGACAGGACACCTAAATGCAGTGGGGTTTCCTAGCCTGGAGCCTGAAAAAAAGACAGACAGCCTGGGAGGGCGGGGACTTGGCTCGGTGGAAGTGCACTTGCCTAGCAAGGCCAGACCCTGGCTTCAACCCCCAGCGGTGCAGAGGAAAAAAAAAAAAAGCTGAATGAAGTGGAGAGGCTGGCTAACAGTCCTATATCTTGTTAATTTCTTGGTTTTGATACATGTGTCACAGCTATGTAAAATGTTCACATGTGGCATCTGGGAGAGGGCATGGGGAATTGGCTACACTACCTTTTTGTAGCTCTTCCATAAACCTAAAATTAGTTTAAAATGAAAAGTTCTAAAAAAAAAAAAATCACATGCAATGTGAAACCTGAGAGAAAGACCTCGTTTTACAAAAGTATTTTAGGGAAAACAAAACTGAGAGATGTCCCAGGCAAGCCCTAGGGCTACAAAGCCTGTCATCTGAGAGAGAAAACTTAACCTTCACAACAAGACCACAGCTCCCCTCTGTCAGAAGCAGCTGGGTGAGTGCAGAGTATGTGATGGTTCAGTCTGATTCTGAACCAGCTGGAGGAGCAGGGAATAGAGGCCCAGGTTAGAAATGGCAGAATGTATGTCTGGTTAGTGAGACCCAAGATATCCGGCACACGAATCACAGAATTCTCATGGTTTATGTCAAATTGAATTCTACATAACAATGAAAATATAAATGTTTTATTTATCTTCTTGTGTGGCTTACACTTACACTTCAGAATGATAAGTAGTAAGAAAAGAATCTGAGACTTACGGAAGTTTCTTGAATTAAAAACAATGGAAAGAGGTCAGTATTGACATATTGTTATGTTACTGAGTAATAACTTGCTAGCAAATGGGTCTTGTTTAGATTTAAACAAAACAACTTAAATGGAAAGAATGTGCAGGCACTTTTTGCTATGTAAAGTATGTGATGTCACCCAAACACTATTAAATCTTGATCTCCTTAACCCATTTTTGCCCCATGGTCCCAGATATAGAACCTACAAAAATTTAAATATAGTATATAATATACAACTACATAACAAATATATTATACATGTTAATTACATAATTATATTAATGCTAATATAATGTATATAAATTCTCGATTATTATTTTCCACCTATTTTAATATACCTCTGCCAACTTCACTGAGATATTTGCAGAATTGAAAACATGGGAGTTAATGAGCTGAGTTTCTATGAAACTTATTTGGAAGTTTATTCTATAAAAATGATTTCTAGAGCTCAATATCGGGATTGGGGATTGCCAAGGACAGACCCTCCTACACTCAGCTCTGATTGGTCAGGATCCCATGGACTCAGCCTTGGAGAGGGATAAACGCCACCAGCTGGCAGGAGGGAAAGGGACAGGTGTCCTTCTCTGTGCTCACCATCACGTATACACACAACCTCTCCACAGGCTGTTTTCCACAAGGGCCATAGGAGCATTTCCTGTATAAGCTACCAGAGGATGCACAGCCAAGAAAGCTCTGCCAAGTGACAGCATAAGCAGCCCGTGGCAGCTGGTCTTTGTGCAGCTCTCCATTGCTGGCCTGTGCCCACCAGGAGCAATTAAACCATTTATGCCAACATTACTTACATCTGAGTTGCAAATTGTATTGTGTTTAAGCCATGTTGGCTAGAATGGCTTGGTATTACTAACGCTATCAAGAAGGGAAGATAAACACAATATAAAATAAGGGCTATAGGGGCCAAAAATTTCTCTCCCCCATCCCCCAAGGGAACACATCACTCAGATTCTTTTCTTACTACTTACATAAGAAATAAATTCCAGTAATGAAGCAAATACCTTAAAGTGTTACTGGGCAAGCTTTAAAAATGCAAGATAACAAGAACCAAATATTAGAAACATGAAGAGAAATGCAATACAGTAAGGAGAACTAAATTTGCACTGAAGTCCTGTGCTGAATAGAGATATAAAAAAGAAATGTGTGTGTATATAATATGTATACACTGCTGAGTATATTTTACAAAACAAAAGCAAGACACAGAGGGACAAAGGCAGCCAAAGAATATATACAACAATTTGGTTTACTAAAAATATATGAAATTTATTTATTATAACGTGGATAGACTTTCTTTAGTCTTACCATGAAAGACACACAGATATAGCAAAGGAAGCAAGAGTAGGAAAGGGAAAAGAGAGGGGTGAAATGAGCATTGGTAAGTAGCGCAAGCTCGGAGACAGTCAGACAGTTCCAACCCACAGTGAGCTGAATGAGCGGAGGCAGCGCAGAGGGCTGCAGACCTGGGAGCCAGCATCGCCAAGCCAGTTTCCATTCCTGACACACACCTTGCATTCACACCACAGAATGAATTATGGCTTCAAGGGCTGTCAGTGTCTGAGACTCTGGCATCCCTTCTTTGACATTAAAAAGCCTAGCGAAGGGAGGGCAGTAGAGCCAAGTCCCCAGTCTGTGCTGGGCTGCAGCACCACAGAGGAACAGACCCGTCCAGTCCTGACAGAACAAGTCAAGTTCTACTCTGTGATTGCTTAGATACCTTGGAACATGTTCTGAAAAAGCTCTACCCAATTTGAAGACTGGCTTTTCAAATGATTACATCTTTAAGCTTAGAGAAAAACCTTGACCACATATTGCTTGCAACTCAATGTTACAGACACCAAAAAAACCATAGTAAATACAGAAGGATGCTACTAATTTCTTTGTTTGTTTTTGCAGTGCTGGGGATGGAACCCAGGGCCTCACATATGATAGGCAAGTGCTCTACCACTAAGCTACACCCCTAGCCCTTTTTATTTTGAGACAGGATCTTGATAAATTGCCCAGGCTGGCCTTGAACTTATGATCCTCCTGCCTTATCCCAGTTGGCTGGGATAATAAGCATGCCTAGTGATGCCTGGCCAGTGCTACTACTGACTTCTTTTCTTTTCTTTTTTTTTTTTTTTGGTGCTGGGGATTGAACCCAGGGCCTTGTGCATGCGAGGGAAGCACTCTACCAACAGAGCTATATCCTCAGCCCCGCTACTGATTTCTTAACAATAACTTCTCTCATCCTACAGTCAGAAGTAAGTTCTGCATGTCAATATCAAGACCATTTCAGTGAAGTAGTTACATATTATCTTGACTAGGTATGTTCAATGATCACTTCTAAATTAAATTGTTGACTAAGCACTTGGTTCTTAGATGAGTGAATACATTTCAAATACCTTTATGACTTACACTCTTGGACAAGACTTTTAAACATACAAAATATCAAGCTCTTTTAAATACTCTAGTCTTGATAAACTTACTTACCCATTACACACACAGATCCACATACAAAATCCTTTACCAAACTGGCATTTATAAGGCATTTGAGGATCTAACTTATTACCTAAAATACATTTACATTCAGATTTTGAAAACAGAAATAACTTTCCATTAAAGTTAATTAACAAACCAAAAAAAAAAAAATAAATTCTAAATAAGAGAAAAAAGGTTCTAAATTTTTTCACTTCCAGAAAAAGATTGTCATCTTTATCTACATTTGCTCACCAAAATGAGCAATAGTGCTGGGCATGTGCACGCCTGTAATCCCAGCAGCTCAGGAGGCTGAGGCAGGAGAATCATGAGTTCAAAGCCAGCCTCGGCAAAAGTGAGGCACTAAGCAATTCAGTGAGACCCTGTCTCTAAATAAAATACAAAATGGGGATGTGGCTCAGTGGTTGAGTGCCCTTGAGTTCAAACCCCAGTACCAAAAAACAAGCAAATATTTTCAAGAGACACTGTCCTAAATACCCAGGACATAAAATGGGAACAGAGATAGTGAAATGAAGAGAGAGAATTTCCTAGTCCCCAAATTTGTCCCTCCTTTTTAAGCCATGAAAAAAGTCACAGGTCTAATCATATTTTGAAAGGCATGTAAATTTAGTTATAGTCACAAAATTAGTAAGGACTAGTGAAGCACAGCATCTTTTTAAAATATTTTTTTTAGTTGACAATGGGCCTTTATTTCTTATTTATTTTTATGTGATGCTGAGGATCAAACCCAGGGCCACACATGCTAAGCAAGCGCTCGACCCCTGAGCCACAACCTAGCCCAAAGCACAGCATCTTTTAAAATAATAAATAATAAATTAAAAGGTTTAAACTACAGGGAGAAGAGAACCCAGGTCTGAGTCTTAAGCCTGCCTCTGCCACTCGCCAGCCTTGTGTCCCTCACAAGCTGCCTGTCTGTTGGGGCTTTAGTGTCATCATTTTAAAACGCGAGCCTCACATCTGTTTCCCTGGGTTGGTTGGAGATGAGATGAATTTGAGAATCATGAAGTGCTACATAAATGAAGGTGACTGTCAGTGCTACGCCTGCCCGGTTTTATATGTTCCTCTGTCAGGAGAGTCACAGGAGCAAGCCCTGGTTATTCTTCACATGTTCTTGGTAACTGCTTACTCAAGATCTTTTAAAGAAACAGAAGCTCATTTCTGCAAAATTAAACACCCTGTGGCCCATGGGGACAACGTAGGGTTGGCACACAGGAACAGCCATAGGCAGAGGCACAGCCAAGTGGCCACTATTTCTTGTTGTCCTGGGGAGCACTAGTCATGGCATACACATGTGCACTCTAGAGAGTAAACACCACCTTAGTGAAATTTGAAGGAATGAATCTAAGTAGTTTTTTTGCGGGGGTTACCAGGAATTGAACTCGGGGGTACTTGACCTCTGAGCCATATTCCCCAGCCCTATTTTGGATTTTATTTATTTAAGTAGTTTTTTGCGGGGGTTACCAGGAATTGAACTCGGGGGTACTTGACCACTGAGCCACATTCCCCAGCCCTATTTTGGATCTTATTTAGAGACAAGGTCTCAATGAGTTGCTTAGTGCCTCGCAGTTCCTGAGGTTGGCTTTGAACTCACGATCCTCTGCCTCAGCCTCCCAAGCTGCTGGGATTACAGGGGTGCGCTACCATGCCCAGCTCTTCTAAGTGTTTTTTTGGTTTTTTTTTTAAGTTGTAGACAGATACAAAATACCTCTATTTTATTTATTTGTTTTTATGTGGTGCTGAGGATCGAACCCAGGGCCTCACACATGCAAAGCAAATGCGCTACCAACTAAGCTGCAACCCCAGCCCCCTAAGTGGTTTTTGTATGTTTGTTCGTTGGTACTGGAGATTGAACCCAGGGGCACTTCACCACCAGAGTCATGTCCCAGTCCTTTTTTTTTATATTTTATTTAGAGACAGGGTCTTGCTAAGTTGCTTAGGGGCTTTCTAAGTTGCTGAGGCTGGCTTTGAACTTGTGATCCTCCTGCCTCAGCTTCCCAAGCTGCTGGGATTACAGGTGTGCGCCGCCACCTGGCTCTAAGTGTTTCTTAACTGAAAATAGAAGGAAAGGCATCTCTGGACCAAGGCCTAATGTCCCATATAGTTTGTGCAATCCAAATATCTTTGTGGGCTAAGTATTAAGTCCTCAATTCCCAAGCATAAGACACACATGTCAATTGAGAGTGGGACGAGGAAACCCTCTGTCCTGACAAGAAGGAACAAGATACTTCCTAAGAACATGGAAGAATTCTTGGGCAGGCTACTCTTGAGAAGGTTTGCTTTTATTTTTAGTTTTTAGTTTAGTTTTGTTTTTTTAATAAGCAAAAAATCATGCCACTATGTAGCCTGCATCTATTCAGTACTCTGCAGCACCCCCCTGGATGGGATGTGGCTCTTGGTGACTGCACACACTACACTCATTTGTTAGAAGGTGAGTCACAGAATCATCCTAGACAAAAATGGCATCTTTAAAAGAATAAAGACCATCAGGATGTATGAGCATCAGGCTTCTGACTGTGTTATTTCTGCAGGCCAAGTTCATCCTTACTCAAAAGTACCAGAAAAATTATACTAGGTTCCATTTGAATATCATTTAAATATAATGGAAGGAAATTAAATAATAGAGCTAATTTTTATTAAAAAGTAAATAAAACATTTAAACTGGTGTTACCCCCTGTAATTGAAAAATCAACATTTTAATATAATTTATATGCAGAGCAATTACTAAATGTAAAATTACAATGTTTTTAGTTACTGAAACTAGGAGGTAACTAGGAGGTAATATGAGACATTTGATTTTAGAACAATTTGAATAAATATAACTGAACATGGCTTAAAATTTTAATATCTAAAACTTCTGTAAATGAATTTTCACAAATTATCAATTATCAGTACCAAACTATCACAATGCCATTTTCTGAATATAGAAAGGTAAATTTTTTTTTCTATTGCAAGTCCACACACACCATGTTCTGAAATTTTCCTTATTAAACACACACACATACACACACATACACACACATGCACACATCCAATATACATATAAGTAAAGCCTACCTCTTTTTCATTTCTAATAACTGATTATTGAGCACAGATCGTTCTTCTTCCAGCTGGGGGGAAAAAAAAGAGAGAGAGAGTTCAGTTCCCACAGGTCCAGAGAGAGGCCTCTTCTTCACTCTACATGCCACATCCCTGGGCTCCAAGGGAAGAGAAACACTTGGTTCTCCTCACAGGACCTGGGGCCCAGCAAGAAGTCACTGCACATGGGATGCAGTTATTAATCTACAAATCACTTATGACCTGGTGATTCCTTCCTCCTGGACTTCAGATTTAAAAATATTAAACAACAGCACCTTGAACATGGACATCTTAAGCTTTCAATAAGTGTGGCAACAGCTTTAATGAGTGACACAGCTCCACTACTAACACCATCATTCTTTTAGTTAAATCAGAGAGGTCCAGTGTCGCAAGCTAGCAGAGGAAAAGGAGCAGGTCCTCTGCTCTCAGTAGGCTTCACCTGACTTGCCTCTCACTTCAACAAACAGTTGGTAAGGGGCTACTTTGTTCTAAGCACTTGACTATACATTTATAAAACAAGGAGGTCCCAAAATCTCCAGCAGTTCTTTCCTTCTTAAATCCTATTATTATTATTATATGAACCATAAAAAACCAAGATTCATATAATCTGTGAAAGAAGAGAACTGCTCTCAGTATGTACCATGCATCACCATTTTGCCAAATATCAATTTCAACTCACACTGTTAATAAAACAAAAGGGTGAAAAAGCTCTTATGAGTTGTTTTTAACCCAACGATACCTAAAGGTCATGTGATAGTTTCCAATAGTCCACAATTTAAGTTTCTAATTCTTCATATGTTATAATCACAATTAATTATGTATCAGGTATGTATGTGCTTTGTTATGAGGTCATCATATTTAAAACATTCTCACACATACATACACATATGGATTGAATATAACTGTACATTCATCATGAAGTCTAGAGTCAACATCCAGGCTTTTCACTGTTGTCTCTACTTTCCCCGTCCATTAAGATATATGCTTTTGCTGCATGAGTAATTCACAGAAATGCTTAGAGGAAGCAAAAAGAGGGGGAGGCGAACTTTAAAAATGAAATGAGAAGCATAACATCTGGAGAGTGGGATGTGGATGAGAAGGGCTTTCACTTTTGCTTTTTATTCAATTTATAGTTCTATGTTAAACATGAAGCCTATTTGAAAAATTATAACAGGGGCTGGAGAGGCAGCACACATGAGAGGTGCTGGGGATGAGTCCCCAGCACCAAAAAAGTAGAAGAAATACAAACTGCTAAATACAGCTAGAAGATAAAACACTGTTTTCTATAAAGATCAGTACAATGCTGGGCATGGTGGTGCAGGCCTCCCACTGGGGAGGCTGAGGCTGGAGGATCTTAAGTTCAGGGCCAGCCAGGGCAATTTAGAGGGATCCTGTCTCAAAATAAAAAGAACTGGGAATATAGTTCAGTTGTACAGTGCCCTGGGTTTAATCTCCAGTACAAACAAACAAACATATCAGTAAAGGACTGGAGCTGTAGTTCAGCGGTACAGTGCTCATCTCTCATCATAAAGCAGTGGGTTTGATCCCCAGGTCCACAGAAACAAACAAAAAACCAAAACAGATCAGTATAGTAAGTACTAAACTTCTATAGCTTGGAAATCTGGGCACACTAATCTCCAAGGAAGAGGGAGAATCTCTGCACACTGTTTTTTCTTTATTTCATTCATTCATTTTTACGATACTGGGGACTGAACCCAAGGCCTTGCACATGCTAGGCAAGGCCCTAGCACTGAGCTATATCCCCACCCCTTTTTAATTTTATTTTGAGACAGGGCCTCACTATGTTGATGAAGCTGTCCTTGAACTTGCAATCCTGCCTCAGCCTCCCCAGTGATTGGGACTGTAGGTATGCACCACCATGCCTGGCTTGCATGTTGCTTTTTGTGGTACTGGATGATTTTTTCAAATGTTCATTTATAATTCAAATTTTTGTTTTTGAGTTATGTCGTGTCCTTTATCCATTTATACATTCATTATAAGCATTTTCCAACCTTAAATGTGTTGATTGTAAAAATATTTTATAATCAAATATAAAAATAAAAATATAATAAAAATATTTTTAGGGGCTGGGGTCGTGGCTCAGAGGTCGAGCACCTGCCTATCATGTGAGGCACTGGGTTCGATTCTCAGCACCACATAGAGGCAAATAAATAAAGGTCCATTAATAACTAAGAAAAATATTTTTAAAAAATATTTTTACTGGGCTGGGGATGTGGCTCAAGAGGTAGCGCGCTCGCCTGGCATGCGTGTGGCCCGGGTTCAATCCTCAGCACCACATACAAACAAAGATGTTGTGTCCGCTGAAAACTAAAAATAAATAAATATATATATATACATTTTTTTTAAAAATATTTTTACTTCTTGGAACCAAAGATCAAACCCAGTGCCTTGTGTGTGCGCTCAACCACTCCTATTAATGATTTCTAACTTCACAATACTGTGGTTAGAGAACATACATTGCAATGTTTCAAATTCACTAAAAACTATTTTATGGCCTAATATGTATTCTATCTTGGAGAACGTTCCACGTGAGGTGTGAAGAATGTGTCCTCTGCTGTTGGGGGACAGAGCGCTCTACAGGCCACTGCTATGTCTAGCAGTGTTCCATTTCCTTGTTGGTCTTCCGTGTGGTTGCTTATCCATCACTGAAATAGGGAGTACTGAAATCTCCAACTGGCATTGGTGAACTGTTTCTCCTTTATGGTTCTATCAGGTTTGCTTCATGTATCTTGAGGCTTTGTTATGCAAAGCAGGTGTTACATCTTCTTGAGGACTGACCTTTTCGATCATTATCAAAAGTCATCTTGTTTCTAGTAACAACTTTGGCTTTCTAGTCTATTTTGACTATTAGTACAGACTCTCCAGGTTGCTTCTAGTTACCGTTTATGTGGTAGATCCTGTTCCGTCCTTTTAGTTTCAGCCTCTTTGGATTTCTAAATATAAACTATGTCTTACAAACAGCTAGTTAAACCATGGTTTTAAAAAATCCATTCTGCCTGCTGATATTGTGATGCACACTGTAATCTCAGCTTTCAGGAGGCTTAGACAAAAGGATCACAAGTTCAAGGCCAGCCTGGGCAACTTTGAGACTCTGTCTTAAAATTTAAAAGGGCTGCAAACATAACTCTGAGACAGAGAAACTGTTTTTTAAAAAAATCCATTCTGCCAGTCTGGGGCTGTGGCTCAGTGGCAGAGCACTTGCCTAGCACATGTGAGGCCCTGAGTTCAATCCTCATCACCATATAAAAAATAAATGAATCCATTCTGTCAATCCCTACTCTTTAAATCAAGTACTTAATCCCTTTACATTTACTGTGGTTATGAATAAGGTTACATACTGTTTGATTCCATTTATAACCTACTAGAAAAGTCAAAAACTATGAGGCCAGAAAAGAGATAAGGGATTTGCAAAGATTAGATGGTGACTACTTTATAGGCAGCATGAGAAAACCTCTTGGGGTGAAGGAAATCCTAATTGTAAGGTCAGTTATACGACTATATATATTCATCAAAACTTACCAAACCCCATACTTACGAAGGATGAATTTTATGTAAATTTGACCCCAATAAACAAAACTTGGAGGTAAAACAAGTTCAAATAATTTGTACAATATAACTTTTATTAAAAAATATAACTATGTGGGGCTGGGGATGTGGCTCAAGCGGTAGCGCGCTCGCCTGGCATGCGTGCGGCCCAGGTTCGATCCTCAGCACCACATACAAACAAAGATGTTGTGCGCCGAAAACTAAAAAATAAATATTTTAAAAAAATAACTATGTATATGTGTGCATTTGTAAATGCTGCTAAACACATAGCAAATAGTAAGAAGCAGGACATAAAATCAACATAAAAAAATCAATAGTTTTCCTATACACCAATAACAAATTTGCTGAAAAAGAAAACAAATACAATTCACAGTAACCTCAAAACAACAATAATAAAAACCCAGGAAACCCCAACCAGGGAGGTTAAAGACCTCTACAATGAAAACTACAGACACTGAAGAAAAGAAATTGAAGAAGACCTTAGAAGATGGAAAGACCTCCCAAGTTCTTGGATATGTAGAATTAATATTGTTAAAATGACTATATTATCAAAAGCAGTCTACAGATTCAAAGCAATCCCCACTAAAATACCAATGACATTCATCACAGATTTAGAAAAAACAGTCCTAAAATTTATTTGGAAAAATAAAAGGCCCAAAAGAGCCAAAACAATTCTAAGCCAAAAAAACACTGCTGGAGGCATCACAATACCTGACTTCATATTACATTACAAATTTATAGTAACGAGCCGCATGGTACTGGCATAAAAACAGACACATGACCAATGGTACAGAACAAAAGACACGGAAACAAACGGCACAGATAAAGACATCTGATCCCTGACAAAAGCACCCCAAATATACACTGGAAAAAAGACAGCCTTTTCAAAAATGGTGCTGGGAAAACTGGTTACCCATATGTAGGAGAATGAAAGTAGACTTTTCTCTTTTTTAAAACCATGGTTTAACTGTAGCTGTAAGACATAGTTTATCTCTCTCATCCTGCACAAAAATTAACTTGAAATGGACTAAAGACCTAGGAATTGGAGCAGATGCAACTCTTAGAAGGAAATGTAGGGTCAACACTCCAACATATAGACACAGGCATATAGCCTTCCTCAATAGGATCCCTAAGCTCAGGAAGTAATACCAAATATAACAAATGGGATGGCATCAAACAAGAAGCTTCTGCACAGCAAAGAAAACAATTTACACATGAAGACAGAACCCACAGGATGGGAGAAAATCTTTGCTAGCTACTCTTCTGACAGTATTAATATAGAGAATATACAAAGAATTCAAACTTAACACCAAAAAAAAACCTAATTAATAAATAGGCAAATAAACCAGACACACACTTCTGAAAAGAAGTACAAAGGGCCAACAAATAATGAAGACTTGTTTAATAGCTTTAGTAATTAGGGAAACGCAGATCAAAACAACACTGAAATTTCAGTTGAGTAATA